GGACATTGTTTCGTTCTGCTGTGCATGGGGTCACTATGAGTCAATTCCGACTCAATGGCACCTAACAACAACAACAACATGTTGTTTAAAAAGGTATTTGTAATGAAGACGTCATTGGTCTAGCAAAAGTCTACCATGCGACCTCCAACATCATTTCTATCACCAAGGCTATGTTTTCCAATTACAGATCCCTCTTCTTTGGTTCCAACCTTAGCATTTCAATCTCCAGTAATTATCAATGCTTCTTGATTATGTTTAATCAATTTCAGAGTGAAGCAATTGGCTGTTATTATTTTTAAGTGCCACTGAGTCAGTTTTAGCTCACAAGCAACAGCTTGTGCATCTGAATCATTCACCTTGTGGGTCTGAACTGTCCACCGTGCAGTTAACTGAGCCTAATATGAGTTGTTCAAGGTAACACAGTTATGAAATTTGGATTTAAGCCCAGGTTATGTGATTCAAGAACACATGGTCTTAGCTACCTACAAGTATTGGATTTTCAAATATGGCTTAAAAACATGTGGTAGAAGTAAAGAAAAAGCCCAAAAAACTCTTACTTCTAATACTTGAGTTTGATATTTTTTGGGAAATACTTAGGGTGGCTATATTATGCAATTGACTGAAGAGTAATGTACCTTCGAGATCACCCATTTAGATTCAGGTTTAAACCTCTTTGCCATCTCGTCACTTCCAGCTCAAAGTGACCCATAGAGCAGAGTAGAACTGGCTGTTTCTACTACACAGTTTCCAAGGCTGCAATCTTTAATCTTTTCTCAAAGAGCGTGTAGTGGGATTGAACTGCCAACTTTTTGTTTAGCAGCAGGGCATTTGAACCAGTGTACTACCAGGAGTCCTTGATGCAGGGTTAAGACAACAGAAATCTTGATCTAGACTGACGGCGTTAGCCTGTATCAGAGGTGCCTTGTGTGTGTACTAGAGCTACTCAGGAAGATCTCTGAATCTCTGAAGGTCTGAAGAAGTAATGCATAGGCCATGTAAGGAAGAAGTGGTTTGATTTAAAGATGTTAAGAAGAGTTTTTTTCTGATTAGGGTGCTCAACTATAAAAATAACTGTCTTCAAGTAGCGAAGTGTCCTCGTAGGGCAGGCCAGTCATTAAGTGTGTGAAGCAGCTTGTAATTTAGCACCATTGAGTTGGTTCTGACTCAAAGCGACCCTGTATAGGGTTTCTGAGTAGCATTTAGTGGGTTTCAACTGCTGACCTTTTGGTTAGCTGTCCAGTGCTTATCCTATAGTGTCACATCAGAAAGTAGCTGGTGTCTAAAAAAAAAGGAATGTGGCTTCTACCTACAGGCATTTAAGTACACTGCTTTAAAGACACCATGCTGACCCATAAGGAGCTCGGGTAGCGTAGCGAGTTATGAGCTAGGCTGCTAAACCGCAAGATCAGCAGTTCGAACCTACCAGCCACTACTCAGGAGAAACATGAGGCTTTCTGCTCCCATAAAGAGTTACAGCCTTGGAAACCCTATGCAGGGTAGCTGTGAGTCGGGATCAACCCCATGGCATACTACCACCACAAACACCATGCTAGGTTAGAGGCCTTCTTTACAACTGGTAAAACTTCATTGTTGTTGTTGTTGTTGTTGTTGTTATGTGCCGTGGAGTCAGTTCCGACTCATAGCGACCCTGCATTATAGACACCAAAGTATTGTGTTCCCTCTGGTGGTAAAAATCGGGACTGTGCAACTGTACAAAGAATAACTGAAAATTCCTATGCGTGAAAACCAACCATCGATAAAAACGTCATCATTTTCATATTGACTTTAAAGAGCGGTTTTATGGCCATACCTCATGAGCATGTTTAGAAAATGAATCTGCGCTCGACAACATAGCGGCAGTTCTTTCTTCCAGATCACCGAGCTTCTGCCCTCGTTCATCAAGGGCCAACCTTGCTCGTGCTAATTCACCCACAACTCCAGAGGCCGCTCCTTTCACGCCTTCAATGCCACCAGGGCCTGGGATATGCTGAGCCAGGCTCCGTGAAGGCTTGCCCGATGACGATTCGCCAACTAGATGCATTTAAGAAAGGAAAGAGTAACAACTCAAAAGACGACAATTTAATTCAAACAGACTCCTACAGCCTGAGATTGCACTGAAGTATTTTAGAACCAGTTGCAATTTAATTGAAATATTCGTAGCTTTCACTTTACAAGTAATCTATGTTTTCTCTTCACTAATTTTCACACATGCAAAAGCACACAAACCGTAACAAAGTCTGCCTTGCACTAGTTCTCACAGGTTGGTGATTATGTGTTGGAAACAAGAATGGGTATATGACACCAATGAACACAACAGTAACCAAAAACTGAAGAATAACAAACATAGAAAATTTAAATGAAATAGAGAGATTTGATGGACTGACTTACTCCACACTGTTTTCCTTAAAAAATACCTATACTTAGACGTAAAAGGAAGTCGTGGATAAAGGTTCATCAGCATTCTGTTTCAGTCTCCACATGCTGTAGCAGTGGTGCAGCCCTCTCCTCCTCCCGAAGTATCTCCTCACTTAGCGGAGAGATCAAAAGTTCCCTTCAGAAGGTCTCAGGGCCTCACTATTTCTTTTCCTGTCTTAATCCAGACTCTGACGGCTCAGCATCTAGCTTACTGCTGAAGTCTCTGAGGTTCTGCGAAAGGCTGCTCCTTCTCCTCCAGCCACTGAAGCAACCCTCACTACCATCAGCTTCCGTTACACTAGCTTGCTACTCAAAACTTCTGAATAAATGTCAGGGCTCCCCAGTGGGAGTTGACCTGCTTTCCAGAACTTTCTCTACATGGCCTTATGTGACATGGGGCTCCTTTGTGTCTCTCAGGGCCCAAGTCTCTGCGTGGAGCCTTGTACAGTGTTTTGTTCTATGTTTGGCGCTCAAGCTCTCTTTCTCATCACTCTGTGCATTCATGTTTGATTCTTCCAGTGAGAAGAGAAGTTTCTTGAGGCCACAGTGTCGAGTCTAGCACTTTGAGGCGATGGTGGCCTCTTTCTATATCTTCTTGGACTGAAGAAAAATTGGAAAATTCTGTGCCAGGTCCTTACCTGAGGGATTTTGGTTTTAATACACCCTGGATGCAGATGATATCATTATGAATACAAGGGAAAAATGTAGAATAGTAATTTTACTTTTGAACAGAACAATGGAAAAAACAAATGTTTCATAAATGTATTCGAACAAAACTCATAATATAGAATACTCTGATGTAACATGAATTCTTCACTTCATTTTAAACTTTTATTTAAAAAATATAATGTACCTACTGAAGAAATGAGTAAAATAGATATACGTAGCTTAGCAAATTAAAACACAGCAAATATCTGTGTAACCAGAGTCCAGATGAAGACACAGATGAGATTCAGTCCTAGAGTCCTTCGTGTACCTTTCTCATCACAAGCTCCTTCCCCTACCCACCTTAGGTCGCTGCCACTCTGCCTTTTATGGTATTTTTTTTACTTCTTTATAGTTTTAACTCTTGTGTCTATAGTGCTAAGCTATATAATTTCATTTTGTCTGTTAATAAAGTTCATAAAAATATACTTGTTGTTAAGTGCCATTGAATTGCATAGCAACCCTATATAAGGTTTCTGAGGAGCGGCTGGTGAGCTTGAACTGCCAACCTTGCAGTTCAACATCTATGTTTTGTTGTTTTTTAAGTTTTTATTGTGAATTAAGTGGTTGTCTACATGAGCGAACATTAGCTTTACATTCATCCTATTGTATTTTATTTCACTGCAATGATAACAATCCCTCCATGTATTGTCAAACAACAATAGTGTACATTCCCACAAGCCTGCCCCCCAGCTGTTAGCACATAGACCCTCTCCCTTTCTGAATCTAGAGGCCCCAGCCACTCCATCTCTCCAACATCATCGTCTCTGCCTTCATCTCTGGCGTCACTGCTTCTCTGGATAGGGTCCTGCACTCTGCTCTTCTCCCTTGATGGTCCTAGGGCCCTCTGCTCCTGGACTGCAAAATCTACCACTCCCCTCCTTTTGCTACAAAACATCTACCTTTACATTTCCAACCCTCACAGTCAGTCTTGATAGTAATTATTCACTATTGTACCAAGAGAGTCTTATCCCCATCTCCTTTCATCAGCCCCATCCAACATTTATGTCATTTATACTCTCCTCTCTACTTTCCCCCTCTCTGTTTTTCCGTACTGCTTCCGGTTAAGTCCCCTGATGGATCTTTCAATTCCTTGATAACCTTTTCAGGTATGACACTTATCCTGAACATTATATGCATATTTATTTCATAGTTTGTTTCTGATGATTCCAATATCTAAAGGCCCTATGATTCTGCTTGGACTTTTTCTGCTGTTGCATTGCTCACGGTGTTGATTCATTGTCTTCTGATCATCTATGGCTATATGCTGGGAAGGAGCTCTGGTGGCGT